TGCTATAAGTGGTGTCAAACCACTGAAATAAATCAAACAATGCATGCTTAACACTTCACACATTTAAAGCCTACAAGCTAAACAATGTAAAGGGGCTATGCAATGCATGCCATGGTCAACCAAAACAACTAAAGGCAGACCTTAAGCATGGGGAAACAAGTACAAAAGCTTCACAAAGCAGGGCCTAAAACATGCTTGAACAAGGGTCAAAGCCTAGATGCATGTTAAGGCTAAATGATGGCATTACAAGACATGTATGCAAAGCATGCAAGGTGTGTCCAAACCAACTCAACACAATGCTATTTCATGGAAAAATAAGCATAAATATCAGTCAAGGCATGGCCAACATGAACCTAAACATGATGCTCACTAAAGAGGCAAAAATGGCCCTTTTCAAGGACAACAAAGAGAGGGAGTGGCCCTCTCCTTCTTAGGACCTCAAGGTACCATCCTCATCACTGAAATCCCTCAAGATTTCAGTGGTGAGGAGGCCCAAACACAATGGTCCCGGAGCTCAACCGAAATGACACAAAACAACGGCCAAACAAGCCTTAAGAGGGGTCAAACAACCCCAAAGCTTAAAACACCCTTAAGAAACTATTTAGGGCAGATAAAAAAAAGACTTTTCTATATCATATGCAAAGTCTAAAATAGCAAGAAAGGTAGGCAAAAATCTAGTGCAAGATTGGGGAATCTAAAGTAAGAATGTTACCCTTGAAGAACCCTTGAGGAACAGCAAGATCAGCCACCTTCCTATGATCAAAACCAGTCCAAAAACTCAAGAACAAATCCTCTAAGCCTCTCAAGGTCGAAGTGTGGTGTAATGGTGTGTGTCTTAGTGCAAAACTAAGGTCAAAACACACTTTTAGGCCACAAAACACACACAAAAGAGGAGAAAGAGGGAAATATATAGAGAGAGAGTGATGTATATCAGAATATATGTATAAGCTCTGGTTTTTTTCGTTCAACCCCCAACAATGGAGGAGGGAGGCTCTATATATAGACAAAACAAAGGTTTGAAGCTTCTCAAAGAAGTTAAACAAAAAAAGGGGTCAAAGGGGGCAAGGCTTCCTGAGGAAGCTAGGACAGTTGGCAAGCTTCTTGAGGAAGTTTTGACAAAAGATCAAGCTTCCTCAAGAAGCTTTGACCAAAAAGGGTGCAAAAAGGGCAAAACAGCCACATGTATGCCCCGGGGCAGGTTTGGTGCATTCTAGCTGGCACAGCTGGCATGCACCATGCCTGAAAAAGTTAAAAAGGTGCTACTGGCCAGAAAAGGAGGTCACCAGCCAAACAGATGGCCGGTCGGCCATACTGAGTGCCGACCGGCCAATGGTATAATTCACCAATGGCCAGTAGCATCAAAACATGGCTGGTGGCCTCAAACCCAGGCCGGTGGGTGTCAGGGGTAGCTAACAAGCTACTTTCTACCCTCAGAAGTGAAAACACAAGTGTTTGGTGCAAAACCAAACACAGAACAGTCGAGTTGAGAGATCCTGAGGCAAGGCGCGTAGCCGAGACCTCCGGGAACTCAAAACGAAACACAAACACGAGTAATCACCGAGTGTTCGAGCGGTGACGTCCAAGTCTTGAGGACGGTCAAAAATGGGGTGTCTACAGTTGCCCCTCTTTAATAGAACTCGGAAGTCATAAGATGACGGGAGTGAATGTCAAAGCCCGGAGACGACCCATTTTTGACAAGGCCGAAGACTTAGACAAACATACAAAACAACAAAGGTATGCGCCCGTAGGTTGCCTACGTATCCCTTTGCAAGGAATCAAATCAGCGTAGTTTAAGGGGCAGGATGCAAATGATATGCAGGAAGGCTTTGATAACGGGACTTATACGCTACGCGAAGCCGGTTTGAAAATTGGACTTATACGCTACGCGAAGCCGGTTTGAAAATTGGGGATTTATGCCATGCAATGCAACGCAAAAACGCAATGTAATAGCTAGAAAGTGAAGGTACCTTACAGGGGCAATTGGCAATGACCTACCTCATGCTGCTGAGGACCTTCCGCTTCTTCTTGGTTAAACTACAAGTACTACTTTTCTCCCTGGCTGTGGCCGCAGCTTTCCCTATTCTCCAACAGGGTGACAGACTAGGTTGGTTCAATATCTAGAATTGAGGTGCATACAGATGCTATCTCAATCTGTGGGGTTGCCATACAGATTTCAAGCCGAGGATATACCCCTAGGTATTTAAACCAGACTTTAGTCTTGGAAATCCCAAACCTTTGTGTTCTAGGCATGAGCCATTCAAACTGTAGTTTCCACCGTCTCAGTTGGTCTCCTAGGAACTCACCGCAAACACAGGCAGGTGGCTATACCAGACCACCGGAAATCGTTCGGGCACGACAAACACCAAAGGAATTGCACCTTTAGAGGATTTAAGGTCTCCTAGACCGAAGAGTGCACAAGAAAGTGCGAGTGAAGAGTGAATGCACAAAACAATGCTAAGAAGATGCACGAAACAGTGCGATGCAACGTACTACCAAGTACAGGTTAGGTGCGCGTGATAGAATGTATGCAAAATGCAAGTAAGGTGCACAAAACAGTGCGACGCAATGCACTGACAAATGCTACAAGCATTTTCTATGCAAGATGAGAGAGAGCATGTAATGAAATGCACAAGATAGTGCGATGCGCAATAGAGCGTGAGTGTAAACTACACAAAATAGTGCGATGCGCAAGAGAGCACGAGTGATAAACTGCACAAAACAGTGCGATGCGCAAGAAAGCGTGAGTGATAAACTGCAAAAAATAGTGCGATGCGCAAGAAAGCGCGAGTGATAAACTGCACAAAATAGTGCGATGCGCAAGAAAGCGCGATCGATTTGAAATGCACAAGAAAGTGCGATACGCTAAACAGCGCGAGTGATTTGAAATGCACAAGAAAGTGCGATACGCTAAACATCGCGATTGATTTTGAAATGCATAAGACAGTGCAATACGCTAAACAGCGCGAGTGATTTGAAATGCACAAGAAAGTGCGATACGCTAAACAGCGCGAGTGATTTGAAATGCACAAGAAAGTGCGATACGCTAAACAGTGCGAGTGATTTGAAATGCACAAGAAAGTGCGATACGCTAAACAGCGCGAGTGATTTGAAATGCACAAGAAAGTGCGATACGGTAGACAGCGCGATTGATTTTGAAATGCACAAGACAGTGCGATACGCTAAACAGCGTGAGTGATTTGAAATGCACAAGAAAGTGCGATACGCTAAATAGCTCGATTGATTTTGAAATGCACAAGACAGTGCAATACGCTAAACAGCGCGAGTGATTTGAAATGCACAAGAAAGTGCGATACGCTAAACAGCGCGAGTGATTTGAAATGCACAAGAAAGTGCGATACGCTAAACAGGGCGATTGATTTTGAAATGCACAAGACAGTGCGATACGCTAAACAGCGCGATTGATATGCAATGCACAAAATAGTGCAATTGAGATACAACCACAAAATGCACAAGACAGTGCTAGTGAGATACAAAGTGTAAGTGCACAAGACCGTGCGAGTGAATACATGTTCTATGCAAATGAGGTGCATTTTCTATGCAAAAGATACGAGCATTTTCTATGCAAGAAACATGAGCATATTCTATGCAATATTGAAAGCATATTCTATGCAGAATCGAAAGCAAGCATATTCTATGCATGAATCATAACGATGCGCGGCACACATGTAACAGAAGTGTATATGAAAGTGCACATTCTATGCAATGAAAGGGCATCAAACATGTACTCTAGTGCCTCCGATTTACCTTTCGGAGGACTTTGTAACACACTCAACTCAAAAAGGGCACACTCTGTTCATATTGGCGAGAGATAACATCTGCTGCTGCTTTAATTGCCATTCTGACTTGAAGCAGGCTTACACTTGGGGTCGAGATACACTCATACTCCAGAGCAATGGCGAGGTCTGAGAAGGTGCACCTGGAATGCAGTCTCGGAATTTGCCGGAGTTGAAATAGACTAAGATGCTCCAAATTTTCCCTCTTTTCTTTTGCTCTGCAGTCTGGAACCTACAAACCAAAGAGTCCAAATCTGGCAAATCGTTTTGAGAAACAGATTTTTGAAAAAGTAG